CACCGTACACACACACACACACACACACACAAGCCCAATCAGCCTCTGTCAGCTGGATGCTGTTAAGAGTGTTACGCTGGGGGTTGGAGAAAAAAAGGAGAAGGGAGGCAGAGGAGGAATGCAATCTCAACACCTTCAGCTCCTGCCCTATTCACCTTGCATGTTGTTCTGCAGGAATGCCATTAGCTAAGTGAGAATGGTGTGGGTGTGCACAAGAGTTTGTGTGTGTGTTGGGTGGGGGGGGCTTGTGAATGTGAGCGGGCAGATGTCTGCATGCCTTGTGTCTGTGTGGTGTCTGAGTGAGAATTGGGAAAAAGAGCTAAAACAGAATAAGAAGCAATTTGTGAATCTAAGTGTGTCTACATTGATTTGCCTTTGTGTGTGTATCAAGTGAAGGTTGGGTCTTAGACAGCACTTTAATGCTGTAGATTACATAGGCACTGGCTGTGTGCTGATTGAAACCAGACACTTTTGCTCAGACTTCTTACACACATGCATATATATACCAGAACACTGTTTCAATGCACTGATCCAAGTTATCCACTACATAACTTAAGATTTGTGCTACTTTCCAAATGCTTGTCAAGTGTGTGTGTGTCCAGTTTGTCACACTCTCTCCTTGTCCTTCACTGCAGTTTTGGGAATATACAGTACATCTCTGCCAGACCTGGGTTACATAATTCTTGACTTTGCTTCGCCCAAGATAGAATATAATTTAGATGATGGTCACCACATTAGGACAGCTTCGAGTGCATCACAGAGAAGTCATAGTGTAGAACAAGCAATCCTTTTTTAGAGCCAGAATCTCAGAGGTAAAGCAAACCAAGCATTAAAGAATGCCCTCAAACAATCTCCAAAATATTTAGTCCCCAGCAGCCCTCCATGTATGCTCATAAAGGCTAAAGTATTGGCCCAGGTCTGATCTCAGCTCAGATTTAGCGTGGTTTAATATTTCATTATAACCCCTCTGGCTTACAGGGCTTTGTCCCAACTGTGTTCTGCATCGGTCAGCACATGGCCCACAAACAGACACATACAGACGTACGCACACCGCACACGCACACGAACCCACACACACACACAACACACAACACACACACACCACACACACACACACACACACACACCAACACACAACACACGACACACCCACACACACACACACACTCCAGCCTGCAGAGCCCAGTGAAAACAAAGCTGGGCTCTGCCAATGTAAACATGGGCCATTGTTATGGGCACTTTTTCCCGCGTTGTATCTTCACTCCCCGTGGCGATCCAGGGCTCTGAGAGGTACAGAGCCAGGACTGGTCCCATTTAGTGGAGTTATATTAAGAATCGCAAGGACTCATTTGCTTTGCATTTATGTGACCATGCCATTACAATGCTGGCTGTAGAGTGTGATTTATGTCCTTGGTTTCTCTCCCTTGCACTCCTCTTTCTCTCTTTTACTGGTATAGTTTTTACTGCTTGGCTCCTTGCGTGTGGTTTGCGGCCATTTGCTTCGAGAGGTTTTAGCTTTTTGACAATTATTTTTAGACAAGCAGCAGTCAATTTAGTATACTGTACCGGCTTTTGCCAGCTAAGTAAGCCCATAGAAAAACATAACATGGCTATTTGGAAGGATAAGATATTTTGATGTTAAAACAAGTGTGTTGGACTGTGTGTATGCACAAATGGCAGGTAATGCATCTGTCCATATGTGTTCTATGTATGCACAGGCATCTGGTGTGGCTGTGAGGGGGCGTGCACTTTTGTGTGCGCGGGTGTATCTCAATTATACGTACCTTAATTGTGTAAAAATGTGTGTGAAAGAGAGTGTGTCTCATCATGGCGTCTCTCAGCTGTGACCCTGGGCCACATGTGCAGCCAATTAGGGCCAATCAGAAGGCTGTAATCAGGGCGTGGCATGAGGATGGTGGCAGGGTGGCAGCGTGGCAGTGGGGGAGTTTTAAGACCCATGATTAGTATGTCAGACTGATGAGGAAGGACAGGGGGAGCTGCCAGGCTAAATCCCATTTCTTGATTTCTCTGCCTTTTTCACCTCCACATGTGGGGAGCTCTGTTTATTTAGTTTTTGCCAAGACCTGGATAAAATGGGTTTTCAAATTATTGTTTTTTTAACATATTTAGGCGACAGATTGGTGCGGTTTGCCACATGAGATGATGCAATTACAGGAAGGTACTTAAATGTAAGAGTATATGTTTCTACAACTGGCAGCTTACCTGGCACGGAATAAATACTCCTCATGCAGTAAGGTGAAGCCTTCTATGCAGATTTGAAAAAAGACCAGAAATCATTTACTACTTCTATTAGTCTGGCATCAACCTCTTGCTCTTTTGCTCATGGCAGGAAGAAAAGCAAAAGGCTGGAACCGGATTCAGCGAGGCTCTTTGATGTCTGTGAGTTTCAGTGAACCGTCTTTGTTGATTGGCGGCAGTGAGATAGCATCAAAACCTTCTCCTCTCACATGTGCATTGCTCAATACAGCTCCCTCTGTTCAGTTGACAGAAGATAATATGGTATGCATGGCAGAATAAATTAGAGAGTACTGGTGTGTGACTTTGCAAGGCGTTTCTCAGAGAAGTTAATCAATCACTGTTCTCACTGTAGCTGTACTACAGTGAAAGAACATTTTAATATGATGTCACAGTCACTGTAGATCGGACTGTAATTCTTATTCTTATGTGTGAATGAACGCTCAACTCTGTCATGTCACAATAAAGTCAAACATGTTTTGCTTTGGGGTGAGTAATTCTATAGTCTACTGGTGTGCACTTGTCAAATACTCAAATTCCTAAAGGGAATAATATGTATCATATAACATCCACAATGTAATTTATTTCAGTGTGTCAGTAATGGTGTAAAACTCATTCTGCACCTAGATTCCTTTACTGCTGCTGCATTTTGCATTTCTGTTTGCTTTTCTTGTTGCAAATCACCTCACAACCCACAAGTGCTGCAAGTTAATCTATTTTGCATCAAAGTATCACAGAAAAAATTGATTCTGCTAGATGTTATGGAGCTTATTAATTGTGATAATCAGACTGAATTGTAAGTCAACTTACAAAATCTTGTTAAACTGCATCAATCTCATCTATTTTTCATAATTTCAACCAGGTAGCAAGCTAGCTGTGTAGGAAGATGATGTCGTAGGAGCTTGGGTGCTACTGTTACTGTTAAAAGATGGCTGTTGCTATTCGTGTGCTACGTCATGTGTGCAAGTCCTCCCACCCACAGATCCTGTCAATCTCTACTGTGAGCTGTAACTATCTGAAGGCAAATACTGTATGTCATTAAATAATCTGTACAGTAAATATCAGTTGTTAAATGTTCCTGCTCGGGCTTTTCATCATTGCTTACAATAGGAAAAATCTTGTAATGTGTCCAGGGGATAAGTGGTATCCAGTGGAGGGGAGATTTGTGGGGTCTGCTCTGCTCCTTCCTGCACTTTGACTGACTCTTGGACCATCGCCAAGATCCGTCTCTGGAAATTTGATCAGTGTGTTTATTCATCAGCCTTTAAACAAATGGTCCATTTTTACCCTAAACCACATGTCAGAGTTTCACTATTAGTGCTACTGATGTCAGCAAAAAGCAGGCAGCAGATTATTCGTCATTGCCTGTTTGTTTGTGCAGAGTGAAAATGCAAGAACGGCAGAAAAATCACCGTAACTCACCACTGATCTGACAGGGCAGACAAACACAGTGACCGGAGCGTGGCCCGGCCTCCAAAACCACATGTGAACGGGCAGGAATGTATAGGCCACTGCATTGTGGGTTTGTGTCTGGGGGAAAGAGTGCCGACTCCCTGACTCACAGAACACTGTGAGGTTGGGGGATGTGAAGGGGTGAGGACGAGGAGGAGGCAGCATAACTTTCGGGAATCAGAGTGCATGGTCAGGAGGAGTGTGTGAATCACAGCCATCATTCAGTTTACAACTGCTCCTCTCCCGTAGCAATATGCTCAGTTCAAGTGTTTCCACTTAAATAAAACTTGCGATCTCAATCAATAGAATTTCCTTTAAAATGTACTGTTGCAGTATGTGCACACAAGGGAGGAGAGGAGAAGAACTCAATTGCTTTGACAGATTAAGATGTAATCAATGAGACACACTTTTATGGAGAAAAGAGGTATGAGAAAAGTATAAAACTTTTTGACATAATACAGTGAAAATGTTGTCTGTCCCAAAGTACAGAATGGAGCTGACAATGTCAGTTGAACAACATAATATTAATTGGCAGTACAACACAACAAATTACATAATAAATTACATAAATAAATACATTGTTAACGTCTTTTTCCAAAATTCCTTTTAAATGTGAATATTTGCTGGTTTTTGCAATCATCCATATAGGAAACTGAATATTTGTGGTTTTGGTTTTGGACTGCCGGTTGGACCAAACAAGGAATTTGATCATGTCCATTTGGGCTCTGAGGAACTGTAATGGCTTCTTTTCACTATTTTTGGATAATGGAGAAAATAAATGACAAATACATAGTCCAATACTGTTAAAAAAATAATCTGACCAACAATAGTTTATCACATTTTTGGAAAGGAACCCTGTCATTTGGATATGTATGAGTTGTGGCTGCGCAGAATTATTTGAATAATATTTCTATATTAGCAATGAATCACTTGATTGCTTTTATGTGAAAGGTGTGTTTCATAGATAGATAAACCCACAAAGAATTATCACCTGACCCTGCTGTTCCCCTCAGTTGTACAAAGCATTTTAGCATCTTTCTGCTCATTGTTTTGGTTTTATGGCTGCTAACTTTATTGTTCTGGTTGACTATCACAGCCTTGCTTTCTGTCACAGCAGGGAGCTCTGAAAGCCTTCTGATATATTGGTCAGATTCAATGTAGAACTAAAATAGAAATAACTGCTATTTCGCTCCTTTTCAAATTACACATTATCTAATTATCTTTATGTATCCTTTTTGATTTCCTCATCCCCAAACTCCCCTCCTTTGCTCCACCTATCCTTCTCTTTGAAGTCCCAAAGAAGTTGCTCCAGGAGCACGGACCCAGACCACCGGTGTACTCCCCTCCACCCAGCACCCATGACCCCAACATAGTGGGAGACAGCCCTCCGGAAGGGAGCTCAGTCAAAAGCCCTGACGCTGTTACAGGTGAGGATATGAGCTTTTTCACACTCACACGCACTGACACACACTCAACCTCCCATGGAGAGCAGTTAACACTAAACAGTCCCGAGGCCTCCCAGACATCAAGAGAAACAGTAATTCAGGTCTCAAGTCAGGTCATATATGTGTATATATTCAAAGTCAACTGTTTGCATATGTATTCTAGCACAGCCATCGGTTTTCACCAATTATGATCAGCAGTCTTAAAAATATACTGCTTACCAAGAGCCAATGTTTGCGTTTATATGTGACCGCAGTCCAAATCAGTCTGTTATATGGTCAAACTCTCATAGAGAGAAAAAAGGAGAAGACAGAGCAAGAACAATGAAATGAAAGAGTGAAAAACAGTAGACGCCAGCAAGGAAGGAAACTTAAACAAAGCTTTATTCATGAGGGATGGTGGCCTGCGTCCAGCACACTAAGTACTCTGCTCAGCTACCGGCACTGTACTAATTAGGAGGATAAACGAATGAATGAGGAGTTAAGAGAGGGAGCAGACAGGAGATATGCGCTGTAGTGTTGACAGTTCCTAACGCATGAATGGCTTCACTTCCTTGCACTGGCTTCAAACACTCCACTTACAGCTCATCTAGGAGAACCTGTTTCCATCTCTGATGCACTGATAGGGGATGAAACACACGAAGAATGGACATGGAGGAGGAATATGAAGGCGGAACAAGAAACATTTAACTGTAAATATAGGTATCCTTATCTTCTCAGCTCATTCGTCTCGTTTCTCTTTGTTTATTTACTAAACAGCTGGATTACCGTTTTCACAATTTACTGTATTTCTTAAAGGAATAGTTTGACATTCTGAAATACACTTATTTGCCTTCTTGCTTAGAGTTGGATGAGTACATTTATACCACTGTCATATCTGTGCAGTAAATATGAAGCCACCCTTGGCTGGGTGCAGTGACTTCCTGGAGATGTGCCATACCATGAGGTTGCCCGGCAACCAGTGAAGACTCCACAAAGTCACTTTACCCTGACAACTTTTTGCACGTATTGAACAAACAAGATAAATAAGATACATAGAATTAGTGAACTTTAGAGGTGCTGGTAGTTGGATTTACCCATTTGAACAGAGCCAGACTAGCTGTCTCCTCCGGTTTCCAGTCTTAATGCTAAGCTAAGCTAACCGACTGCTGGCTCCAGCATATTTCATATTTATCGTACATACATGAGTGGTATCTTGCTTCTCATCCAACTCTTGCAGGGAAGCAAATAAGCCCAAAATGTCTCAAAATCATGCAAAGGCTTAAAATTCTTTATTTAAACTAACCTTTCTGTGCCCCTTACATATCCTCTTTGACTTCCTCTCATCTTTTCACTCAGTTTTCATATGTTTCTTCTAATTATGGGCTTTTTACAGCAATGCAATAGAGCTATATGACATTTACATTGAGTGAATTATTCAAGTCCAAGATATCGTGACTTTAACTGCAGCACCATTATATCAAATTGTAGTTTTCTAGTTGCTCTCAATTTATTGGCCTGACTTATTTGAAAACTTTAGGATCTTTTATTAAATTAAATTAAACTTTGGGAATTTGAACACGACTTGGCAGGACAAGATCATTTCGTAGAAACTGCCCCAACTGGGTTGTAAACCACAGGATTCTGACTTTTTATTGTCTCCATCTTTGGTCCTAACTGCTTGTTGCTGTGGGCGTTTCTGCACTGCAGTTCTCAGAGATTATTTGGCCACTACTGGGTTGTCTTTTCCCAGAAGTATATACCCAGTTATAACTACCTAGTTCCTATTCAGTCTGTTCTAAACACACCTCTGCTGATGCTGAAAATGAAATATTGTGTATCACTCTGTATGTTGTTAATAATTTGTTCTGATAAAGAGTGTCAACACACAGATGCACGATTTATTATTGTTCAAATGTCATTAAATTATTATGATTTAAATAAAAAAAATTTTTTATTATTAATAAATGATTTCAAGTCGAGTTTTTCATTTTTTAAACAGGGTATTGATGTAGACATTGCCATCAACACTCACAGTGCATTTTTATGTGTGTTAGAAAGAGAGATTGTGGTCTATTGGTTGAATGTTAGGTGATCCATGTGGTCCAGGTGGAAACATTTATGTCCTCAGTGAGCAACTCCAGTCTAAACTGCATTTATCAGATAAAGAGAGCCTGACCCACCTTAGAGCCTCTGCAATTAGAGGTCATTGGTGTGTGTGACAGTTCACCTACACTGACAAAGAATCCAGCATGTAAATATGACTATGCACACAGAGGTTTAGGTCACCAAACTGAATGCTTCTGTTTGTTTTGGTAGTCTTTGTTTAAGGGTTGTTGTTTTTTCACTTATTCATTGGGTTAAAGGTACAGTAGTTACACTCTCCCACCGAAACACGCTTCAGGTTAAGTAGACGCAACTGTGCTCAGAAAATGCGTGTGAATCTATGTAATCAGATCACTCTGTTCTCTGATCTCAACTCCTCGACTCTTGCATACACAACACAAGCCAGCATGTAAACACTGAAAGAAGTCGTACCATGGATGAAAATCCAGATGAGGATACAGTTGTTCCCATCTATAAATAGATCATTTTCTGAGATTTTGAAGGGGAGCTTTTGAAATGTTGCCAGAATGCAAACGTTTCCCATGTGGTTCTCTGTTTCTTAATGACCTGAGTCAGAATGAATTTGACAGAAGCGGATGTTGTGTTATCTTCTGAATCACACAGCTCTCTGTGAACATATGTGTGTCTTTATTGGTGATGCATCTTTGGTCAGAAGCGCATTGCCTAAAAATGGAAAACCACAGAGAGACTGGAGATGACTAAGTGGTCTGAATGCTGTAGTAGTCACAATACCTCAGAGACAATATGCTCTTATTTTACTGTAAATGACCCAACCAGCACCGTCATAATCTGACTGTACCGTTACACGCTCCTTGTGTGTGACTGCATGTGGAACCGCAGATTTTGATCTCGGGAGTGTAGTCATGGTCTACAAAAGAAACTTTTCAAAAACATCTGTGTCTAAATAAAGAATTGAAACGCATTTGAAATTTGAATTTCCCGTTCCTGATAGAATATAGTGTGTGTTGTGTTGTGAGACTGAACTCTCCTGCTCTGTCGTCTTTTGCAGATAGGAAGAAGATTAGGGAGACCGATCCCAACGAGGAGAAGTTTTCCGAAGCCGGAGGAGAAGGAGGAGAAAATCCACTGCGGCCCCCAGGCATGAATCCCATCATCAACTCCACTTCTAGCGCCAACATGGCCCTCATCAGCAACGCACTGGCAGCCTACACTTACATATCAGGTAGTGCAACATGCATAAAACTTAGATAGGGATCCGGTGTTACATTATCATTATTACTCAAGAATAAGGCCGTATCTTATTATTCAAGGACTCAAAATTACTTCTCAGAGAGCAATATAAGTGACCTTGGAATTTGAGTGCAGGGTTTCATGTGTGGTACATGTGGGTGGCTCGCTATCATTTGGTTTATATTCCCCATTTCCTTTTTCCTGGGACTGAAAGGTGGGTACATGTGGGCCAGAGGAATGCAGATGTTAAGCGGAGATAACAGCAACAGACACACACTACACACACTGTCAGTCATCTGCTTCAGCCAGCTGCTTAGGAAATTCTTCCTGTTTTATTACAACCCTCTCTGTGACTCAAATAAACAGTTTGTACATAGTGAAATGCATAAGTTGTACAGTCAAATAAACATGCCCTCAATCTGTTATGGAAGCTAGTCCTATGTAAGGGCAGCTAACTCTGCTTTGAACTTGTTTTCTTACATTTGTAAGCTGCCATAAAATTTTATGACCTGCATTTGTAGAATGCATTTTATTAAAAAATATTACACCAATCACAATAATGTATGACCTTTAAGTGTGAACTTTTTTATGAAAAACCTAAACTGAATCGGTTTAAAACATGTGTTACTCATATTTGCAGTACATTCCCTCTTTTTATTTGGAACTTCACAATTGTCTGAGGGTCTAATGGCGTGAAACCTCAGTACAAATGAAAAGAACGGCACTGAGTTGAGTCACAGTGTACGGCTGGGTAATAGTGTGAAGACTTGGAGGTTGTTGCAGTTGAACTGAATGTGAGCAACCAGTGAGAGCCACAAGCAGTGGCTACAAAGCAGGTCTCACACTTAAGTAGAGATGGATGGAATAGGTGTAACTTTGGTTCAGTCAGTACTGAAAGAAAAATCCTATTTAGAGGAAGAACAGCTCAGTCTTGTCCCCCTGGAGCTTAAGGTGGTGGGATACATTTACCAACATTAACAACATGTAAAAATACATTTCTGAAGATGAATGGAAGCATAAATACAGTGCATGGCAGGGTTGGGAGAATTTAAGTGACATTGTGGCCAAACCAGGAGACCACACTGGGAAGTGTGTAATATGAGCTGTAAGCCTGCCGCTTATGTTCATTACAGTGAGTGAGCCATCAAGTGAAATATTTTCTAACAGGCTGAACAGGTCAGAGGAAAATAAAAGGAACCCAACATCAGTCACAAAGATCCAATTAAATGTTTGACATGTTTTTTGTAAGAAATCAGCTAAACATAGCACTCCCCCCCCTCACTCTCTTGTTCTCTATCTTTCTCCTTCACAACAGACCACCCAGAGAGGGCCGCACTTTTCTTCGTCTGTGGCGTGTGTTTGGGCCTCTTCCTCACACTCTTTGCCTTGGTGGTCCAGATCTCCTGCCGCACCGACTGCCAGCCCCGCCAGCGGCCTCCCGCCAAGAAACGAGCACGCCCCGCCGACTCATCCTCAGATTCCAGCGACTCGGACTCGGACTGGGACACCACCTCAGATCTGTCGGCACGACGGCACCGGCGGTTTGAACGCACACTTAACATGAACGTGTTCACGTCGGCGGAGGAGCTGGAAAGAGCGCAGAGGCTCGAGGAGAGGGAGCGAATCATCCGGGAGATCTGGATGAACGGGCAACCTGACATCCCCGGGACACGGAGCCTCAACCGGTATTACTGAGGACTGCTAAAGGGCTTTTTTATAGAAAGCTTGATAAAAGAAAATTTAGGACGCACTTGAGTTGGAAAGGGGAAAGAGACATTATGAAGCTTTATAAGCCAGCATGCAAAAGTAACTCACACTGATGAAAACAGTGGAAGGCATTGCAGACTTGGGAAGAAAGTGCTCCCTCTCTGCTGGTTTGCATATTCCTCTGGGTATCATAAGCTGTACCCCATTCAGTACAAGTATAAGCTCCCGCTCTGCATGGTAAGCTCACCTCTTAGCCGCCTCTTTCTGCCGGAAACAAGGGGTGAAAGGCTACATTGCCTCGCCCGTGACCTCAGCAGGCCTTTTTTGAAGTGGGGATTTATGGGTTAGCTGTCTTAGACACACATAGGCCTGTGGAGACTACATGGTGACTGAAGGACCAATGCCTCAGATGGGTCTGTTTTATACAGAATGCGAGGCAGCTGCAAAAGACTGTGACACTTGGAGTTTTATGCTCGGCACCCTCCAGTATTCAAGTGTGGACTTTAAGTGAGGGGCAGCATAAAGCAGACAGAAGTGTACTGGACAGTGGGGACAATGTAAGACAATCTTTCCACAGTGAATAACCACGCTGCGTTTTTAACTTTATAAAACCAAAAGATATTTTTGGGGGAATTCATCTCAACCCTTATAAAATCTATTTTATAATATTTAATAGTTTATTGATGTTGTGTATTTTTGTTCTCAAGTATGGTTTATTATGAGATATTTTTATACTTGGCGAAGGTTGTCTGGCACCTCAGGGATGCAATCCTAGTGTTTCTGTGTTTGGTTGATGTATTTGCTTCCTAAAAAGGGGATCAGCCCATTTAAACAGCTATGTCAGCATTTAAAGAAAATAATTACCAATATCATTTAAAAAAAAGAGCCTCAAAGAGGTTTAGTGATTTAACCTTATTTTTGATACAGTATGTTTAATTCACAGTGCAGTGCCTTTTTCTAGCTATTAAGTCACTGTTTTCAAGAGTGCAGCTGGTGTATAACTCAATAACTGGTCAAATAATTTATGAATTGGATATTCCAAATTGATCTTATGTATGTATTTTCTTTTATCATCTGCTAAATATGCGCATGTGTAATATCTGAACGTCTCTGTCACGCGTTGCACTTGCTATCTCCCCAGATGTAGATGTACGTAACCATAATATGCCAATTCTGTATCAGAAATGTTTCTTTCATAGAAAATTGTGCAAATTTCAGGTCTTGTGTCAACCGTGTCAAGCCTTATTTCAAAGATACCAGTGCTAAACCAGATGCTTGTGGTAATCGCTGCTTATGGCCATCTGGAGAAGGAACCAGCACTGAAAAGATGTTCCCAGTAGACGCGCAAACCGTGTCTCTTAAATCATGTTGCCAGTTTAATAAAATAAGCTATTGTCAATCCAGTTATGTTTGTGCTGCCCTGGATTCAGGCGTAGAAATAATTATAGTTTTCAGAAAAAGCTTGGTATTTTCCTGAGAGTTTAATTGAGAGTACACAGGACATATTAGGGTCATCCACATAAAGACTGATACTCTATATAGTTTTTATAAAGACAGTTTTAAATGTGTTACAGTTTGAATGGGATTACAATGTGCCAATAGCTGGTAAAGTGAGACCAAAATATGACTCCTGTGCTTGGAATAAACTGTGTTCAAAAATAGCTTGATGGCTGTTTTGTTTAATCACACATTTTCTTGTAATGTATATGTCACTTCAAATGTGCACAGTGATACTAATAGTCCAGTTATGCACTTAATATTTGCTCTGTACTGTGAAACTCAGAAAAAGACTGCTCTAATATCGTGTTATAATAATACAAATACAGAGAGTAAACACTGTACAATAAGGTCATCACTGAATTTATAAGATTGTGTGCTTATGATGACCTTTGGGGAAGTCTATCAGGGAGATTTATTGCTGTTGCGCGCCCCCTGGTGGTAAGCTTAAAACTCTTCAGTCTGTGTATATTGGGAGTGTAGAAATAAAAGTTCCACGGTTATAATAAAGTTATTTAAAGCCACGGCAAGTCATTTTCAGATACAACTTAATTGAATCGACTGAGGCATGAAGGCAACTCGCCACAGAACTAGAACTTTAGTTGTCGTTTTAAAGAACACTTGTTTATTTTTATAAATTGTCTCGACATTGTTGCTGTAGCGCCGTTTCCATGGATACCATAAACTTAGCACTTGCGGAGCCGTCCTGTAGCTTTACACGCCAACAAAAGCCGCAGTTAAAGCCACCAATTGCGAAAATAAGAGCATCTTGTGGAGGTGAGGGGATGGATAAACCTAATTCGAGACTAGCAATGCCTTGGAACTGGAATAGTCATGGATTGCCATTTCTACCAGGATACACTTTTCGGGATGTAACGGTAAGAATGTGTAGTTATAAAGTTAAAGGAAAAACTAACCAACAATAAGATCAGGCTTTAAGGTTTGATCAAGACAAATGTAAGTTTATTTGGTAAGAAAATTAGCTCTTTCTATAATCCAAATGTTGTTCCTGAATTCCTCCAGTGCTTATGTCTAATAACTGGGTCACAGTTTTGAGTGTTATTGATGCCTGATAATAGGATGCCACAGCAGAGGGATATTAATAGCTTCAATTAAAGTCTGTAATTCATATTCAATAAAATGTGTTTGATGATATTCTCTCGTTTAATTCTGGGGATTGTATTTAATTATCATTCACAGGTGTTTATTATGTCACTATTATTCTGTCCACCTCCATATCTTGTACAACTCTCTCTAAAGGAAGGTTCTGTGTTACATAATTGGCCTTTGAGTGTAGTGCATTTGCATCAGTATATTTCTGTTTTTATTGATTTACCAAAGCGAATTTATCCCCTCCTCACTGATCTTTCTCTGCAGAAGTCGGCCTTCCATCGTCCCCAGACTCTGGAATATAAGAGTGGCTATGCTCTGCCTCGTCGCCCCACCGTGGGCATTGGGCAGGAACCTCTTATATCAGAGCAGTTGACCCAGCAGGAGATCAGTGACTTGTCCTTTGAGACATCAGACATTACTTATGGCTCCCATGAGCACAGCCTAGCAGAAGACTTCATCCCAGCTCATGTGGCCCTTGACAAGAAGGTACAATAACGCCAAGAAGTGTAAGACCAGTGTTTGAAGACTGCTGTCAAATTAACTCCTTGTTTGTGTTTTCTTCTCCACCCTCTTGTCTTGTAGGTGCTGCGATTCTATGCGTACTTTAAGGAAAGTATCCTCTATTCCCCTGAGGAGCAGTACCGTGTGCGCCCCGTGGTCATTTACTACTTCCTTGAGGATGACAGCATGTGCATCATTGAGCCCATGGTGGAGAATTCTGGGATACCACAGGGGAAACGGATCAAACGCCAGCGTCTGCCCAAGAATGAACGTGGAGAGCATTACCAATGGAAAGACCTCAACCTCAGCATGGACCTGGACGTGTACGGGGTCAAGTACCGCATCACACAGTGCGACAGTTTTACAAAGGTACAACACTCACCTGTGCGATATGTATTCTTTTTATTATTTTCTCTGTGTCTGACACAAGAAAACACGTATGTCGTTGTAAATACACTCTGATTGTCTCTCATTCATCATATAAAGGAATTCATGGAAAGTGAGGGCATTCTTCTGAGCGACCCTGAGTCGATGCCTGTGGATCCCTACAGCAAACGCCGCAAAAACCCTCAGCCTTCCTACACAACACCCTCCGAATTCGACCGCATGCACCAGTTTCTCACCTTGGATCGAAAGGTAAAGGAAATTCCCTCCATTCTAATCTCACTTGGGAACAATTACAAACTCTGATCTATCAATCTGGACAGAGCCGGAGTACAATAACATCTCCTATTCAAGCTGTTCAGGAAACAAAACATGATAAGAATAATAATATATATGTTATATATTGGCTTTTGCAAATATCTCTAAATTTAGTAGACTGCACCTAGAAACATTAAATTATACAATTTTAGTGTGAATATGCATTAAGAAACACCACTCACAAGAAAACTACTAAGGTGGGCATGATGTGTCTGTTACAACAACTAGGTTGTGTAACTAAAATCATCTTTTTTCCTTTTTCGGGTTTCTTCAACTTGAGATTGAGCCATTTGTTGTCTGAACCCTTATGAAACATGCAAACTCCAAACCACTAAAATGTTTCGAATAAGTGATCTTGTCATCTCAATAAATATTTGCATTATTGGCAAACAAATTCTAGTTTCAGTTTTAACCTCTTCTTGGTCAGGTGCTGCATTTCTTTGCCCTGTGGGACGATGCTGACTCTCTGTACGGGGAGACCAGGCCTGTTACCATCCAGTATTTCCTGGTGGACGACACTGTGGAGATCAGAGAGGTCCACGAACCCAACAGTGGCCGGGATCCTTTCCCTGTCCTGATGCGCAGACAGAAGCTGCCCAAGAAAATCAAACCTGGTGAGATGCAACACTGTGTTTGTGTCATTTTTAGCTTTATAGTGCTATAAAGTATATTTAAAGACATGCAAAAAGCATTTTCTGAATTAACTGCTACATAACAGTATTCTCCTTATTTCTTTCCAGGGTCCTTTCCCAGCTGTGTGCTGGAGGTTTCGGCAGAGGAAGTGGATGAGTACTACTCCCCCAAAGACTTCCAGGTAGGTCAAACGATGACGCTGCTGGGCCGCCGCTTTCTGCTGTACGACTGTGATCGCTTCACTAAGGAGTACTACCAGCAGAACCACCCTAACATGGAGATGAAACCCATAGAGCTCCCAAAGAAGAGTGACATGACTCAGGAGAAGAAGGTGAGAAAATGAAATGTATTTTTCCATCTTTCTTTTGTTTTTTCTTTGCAAAACTAAAATCATCTGCATTGTATTGCTTTGTTATGATCTTTTTTTTTTTTTGTCCACGTTTACAGGAGGTTCCTCCCTACAATGGTTTTGGTTCACTTGAAGACTCTCTCCAGAATTGTTTGTCTTTAATTCCTAAGCCTCCCAAAAAGAACGTGCTAAAGATGCTAGAAAACGACCACAACGTGCTGCGCTACAGTGCCAGGCTGGTGAGTCAGCATGTGTGAGAATGTGTTTGTGCTGCTAATTTTGACTAAACCTTCAGAAGGACTAGTGGTTGGTTATATGTAGTTACAAGTCACCAAGTCACCCAGGCCCTAACCCTGGATTCAAAACAGATCATTTACCAGACAAAATTCAAAGCGATCGATAATTTCTCTCCTTGCTTTTGCTGTTGCTGACATTCCAGGACTCCCAGAATCCCGAAGATGAGGTCCGACGTTTCATACTGTCCTACTTCCTGTCCAATGACGTGATCAGTATTTTTGAAAAGCCCACTCGCAACTCTGGCATCATTGGTGGCAAGTTCTTGGAAAAGACGCGCATCCCCAAGCCGGGCTCTACAGTGGAAAATCCTGTGTTCTACTCACCTGCAGACTTTGCGATTGGAGCCACTGTGGAGGGTAACATTCTCCCTTTAAAAACCTGTACTATGTTAATGTATAGCTCATGTTGCTACAGTACTAGATACATTAAACTGTATCGGACATTATAATAGACCTTTTTCTCAGCAGCCATTTTGATATGACATAGTAGGGTAAACACAGGTGTTATTAATGACAGAGTCAGGGTGCTGCTATTGTGCATGTTGGAGCGCTGGAAAGGCTCTGCTACCTCCTACTTATATGAAAACGTTGCCAAATGTATAATGATAATACCAAAATGGCTGCTGTGAAAAATTTCTATTAAGTTAAATTCCATTTTCCAGTAGGGGATTAATAGTTAAAGCCCAAAAGCTCAGCTCACAGTGTCTTTCTCCTCATGTTTTTTTAGTTTTCGGCCACCGCTTTGTGTTGACCGATGCTGACCACTATGTGCTGACGTACATGGAGTCCAACACAAGCCAGATCCCTTCTCAGACACTGGATTCTTTGCACCAGAAGCTGGGTGTGGGGATGGCAAATAACCAGCCAGCTGGCCAAAATGGTAAGAATTAAATCAGCTATTCAGCAAAATATGCTTTTTTTTTTTTTTT